AGACTATTAATTTCGCCAATATTAAAGATTCAAATAGTTTTTGCGTGTTGGTTGGAGTTGGTAATACAAAATGTTTATATGACTGTCAGGTTTAAGTTTGACATATTCAAAAAATATTGATTTGCGAACTGGCGTTAACAATAAACAATATATATTATGTTCCAAAATATGTCGCAAACTCTTGCATTTATTATCTTTATTATCTTTATTATCATTATTATCATTATTATCATTATTATCATTATTATTATTATTATTATTATTACTATTAAGATTACGGGTAGTTCACTTTTTGATAGTTTACATGCTACTGTATTGTGATGAAATAGTGGAGTGAGTATAATTAGGGGAAACAGATGAAGTCCAAAAAAAGCAGACGAGACCCCGTATTCTCCATTACAATTTACTCACACATTGATTAGGATTTGCTTCCCTGGGCCCAAAGGGCAAAAGCTAGCACGTTTTCGCCGCAGTACGAGCCGCAGCGTACTTAACGAGTTAAGAAGAGCTCTCAGAGACTTTAGTTCGAATATTCGACTCCACCGTAACGCTGCGACACTGCTCTGCTTACACCCTGCAGACACTGCCTCCCCATCCTTCTTCTCCATCGCCTCCAGAGACCCCGCCCCGCGTTTTACGGTCGCACTTAACCTCCGCCGCCGTCCGTCATTAACGCCGCTTCGCGATAAAGATTGCTAATCCTGCGCCCGAGAGTCGAAGCACGGGCTTCGGGGAAGTTGCAGCCAAGTTCATTTGTCAGCGCTTTTCCTCCGCGAGAAACTGCACGAAGAAGCCACTCTGATGGCGGCGGTGGCAGACGTTAAGAAAGGGGGGTTAAGGAAGGGGTGGAGGCGGCCGCGGAGGCCAAAGAAGCGGTGGATGAGGTGGCGATGGAGGTGGAGGAGGCAGCTGCGGTGGACGAAATGCTAGTGGATGCCGGGATGGTGGATTGATTCGTGGCGCGCCAATTGCTAAGGTCTATCGTCCCGTAAGTGTAGTGCATGTTTTTTTCTGTTTGAAAGGTGGTTGCGAGATTTCCCCATGGAATGGTGAGATTCGGCGTCAATCTACCTGTCGGTTGCGAGGTTTCCCAAACCAGGTATCTCCCAACAGCGGGGCACCGCCCCAGCTGGAGAAACTCTAAGCTCTCGAAAGATCTCCCGGCAGGTATGGTAATGCAGTGCATTTAAGTGTGTGCGTAAGGGACGAGGAAAGCACAAAGAAGGGTAAAGAAAGATCGAGCGCAGTTCGTGGCCCGTTTGCTAGGTTACTGCTCCGGCATTCGCCTAGTATTTATTAGAGAAATCACGGAAAAACTATCGACCAGAGCAGCCGGCCACTATAATTCTCCGCGAGATAGCGGTTGAATTCGACCTTTCTACGTAGAAATCGAAAACGTCGAAAATCCTTCCCCGTCGGGTCCCGAATCTAGGACCTCCCTGTCAGAGGCACTGAAGTGATATCAGTTGATGCTCTCTCAAGGTCGGGGGATGGAGGAGGCGAGGCGGAGGAGGCGGAGAAGGCGGAGGAGAAGGGTGAGAAGGGGGAAAGGAGGAGACGGGGGAGAAAGTGGAGAAGGGGAAGAAGGTAGAGAAGGCGGAGAAGGGGGAGGCGGAGGAGGCGTCGGCGATCGCACTGGCAAAGGAAGCGGGAGCGGGATCCGGTTTTACGTAATGGCGTGGAAGAATGCGTGGTGTGGTGCGGTGTTTCGAATTCTTCTCGTTCGTTCCAGCGGTTTTAACCGCCTTTATCTTGCCAGAAGCCTAACGGATAAGCTGTATTGCCGCCTCTGTTACATTGCTTTCATCACGAGGAATGTTCTTGAGCTCACTTTTAAAATGGTAAGTGCTATCCAAGAACAAGTGTGAGCTCTTCTCTTATCGCAAGTCCCTTTGAAGCTACTCTTTCATTCCAACCTTTATTTTCTTTACGCTTTTGTTGGTTATTTTCTGGGATTTGTTGAAGAGTAACTACCGCTTATGGCCTGTTAGATTTCACCATCATGTTAAAGGGGAGTTAACTTTCATAAATGATGTTCACGAAGTTGGGAATATCCAGATTTTTCTTCCAGAGTTTAAACAGTTGCAGTGTTGTGCAAGGCAACATGTTTCATCTGGAGGTACGAAGCCCCTCCTCCAAACTTCACGCCAACACAACTGGATGTACCGAGGGTGAGAGAGCAGCAAAGTTGCCTATAAATCTGCCTACGGAGTTAGTTCGGCGGGCCTTTTAACCCTTTGAGGGCAGAAATCACCCTCCACCCCGGCGTCCGTGGCCTGAGCCCTTAATGGACCTCCAAGAAGAGCGGGAGGAGGGCGGGGCCAAGACTGAGGTTCTGAGTCAAACTACGAGAACACGGCATCGGATTTGGCAGCCCCGTCGAAGCGTGTCGTGGCGGCCGCGGGGTCATTGAAGACGCCGCATACAAACGGCCAATTAGCGTATCGGTGGGCCCAAGGAAACGGAGGGGCGGCGGGCAGGAACACGCCGATGTCGCGAACGCTGCCGCCCACTCGCTCGCCCATTAACTCGCCAGCCTGCCCGCCCACCCGCTCCCTCACCCGCTCGCTCACCCGCTCGACCACCCGCTCGACCATCTTGCTCGCACGCCCACTCACCCACCT